CTGAGTCTTTTATTTCTGTGTTTTTTAAGTTAAATTCCATTGTAAAATATAATTGATCAATTATCAACACATTTGCATCTTTACGTTTACTGACTGGTCACCTAATCATTATATATTGTTGTATTAGTTATAATAACAACCAAATTACCTAAATCTACTCTGTAAGAACTGAAATGAAATAAAATGAATATAATTTTTTTTCTAAAATAATATTGGATAAATATTTTGCCATAGTATTGTATTGAGCCTCCGGTTTAAAAAAAAAAACAAAAACATATATATATATATGTATACATATATACATATATATATATATATATATACATATATACATCTATATATGTATATATATATTTGAAAGTTTAAAACCAGAAATTGCATTGAAATTGCACAGAACGTTTAGTGATGCTTCAACAAACTTCCCAACAATAATTTGGTCAATAAATCACGCCTTCATTTTTCAAGTATTGTTTGCAAGTCATTGCAGGTCGAGAGATTAGAAAAATCTGGAATTACCTGCAGTGCATGGGATAATGACGACAGGCGCACCGGTTGCAGTTTGGTCATCAGTTGTGGAAGCATGGAGTCGTTTGAAACGCCCAACCTTTAAAGCACTTTGTGTTTCCTCTTTTCTGTCTACCAGGAGCGGGGCGCAAAGGGAAGCTTTTCCTGTCAACTGCCCCATATCCAAAACAGAAACCACCACCACAACGTTTTGCAAGTCATTGTGTTGCATAAGGACGAAGGCCGGCGAATCAAAGTGATCTGGAAACAGAACTTTTTCCCGTCACTTCTCCTCCACAAAGTTGTGAAGGTGGATGCTCAAAATACAGCCTTGACTTAAATGCTCTTAATTCCATATTCTTGAGACGCCGCATCCGAAAGCGCAGCGCACACACACACACACACACAAGTGGGATTTTGATCACCTTTATGAAATAGTTGCATCTCTCTCCAGTGGGAGAGGGGCCGTCGGTTGTGCAGTCATGGTCACACTCTAATCTGCATAATAACAGTGATGAAGAACCCATCAGTGGCAATTTGAGAGGAAGAGCCTCCCAGACCCTCCTTCACACGCCTGTTGATTGTGTTTATTCACGACAGTTAGGTTGATGAGGGAGCAATATGGAGGAGGCTGGATGGACACTTGCCACGTGTTAGCGCTAAAATAGCAGACATCTCTACGCCAAGAACAAACATCGAAGGCGGACTGAAATCAAGGCGTCCGCCGGAGCTCTCCGGAATGCAAATTTCAAAAGCACTTCATTACTTGTTTTTTTTTCCCCTCCTCTTTTTTTTCCCTTCTCCTCTTCATGCAATCTTGTGTCTGAGAGATTGAACTAAGTGGTTAATCAAGACTCCAACCAAAGTATGTCTGAGGAGGAGACAGAGGAGGCTCCTCCGCTCAAAGACAAGACGGTGACCTGTGTGTGTTTTCATGAGATGACCAGCAGGGGTTAGGGGTCAGAGTTCAGGCAAAGAGGAGCATTCTTTCTTCAAACGCAGTCGCCATCATTGGCCGCGAGCCTCAGAAACTGTGTTGAAAGCCTGAGTTAGCACTGAGGGTCGCGACCCAGTCTTTGGGAAACAATGGCTTAGAGTATACGATGTTATAATCCTATAAAAATATTTGACATTACTGAAAATTTAAGGTATTACTTCGCCAGTTCTATTATTCAGTTCAGATTTTTTTGTTGCCGTTGTCTTCTCAAGGGGATCGTACGACCTTTGAAATTAATCTGTATGACTACCACGTACTACAGTAGCCCAGGTGTACTCTGTTCTAAGGCCAAGTATACAAAGTGTACTTAGTCTAAATAACCAAGTCCCTCTTTAAGGGCAGAGGGTTTAAATCAATGAGCATCAACTGGAGGCCCGTGGGCCAAATCTGGCCCACTGAACTCTCCAACTCGGCCCATGACTGGATTCTAAAAAAAACATCATATTATAATGTTAGACAAAATTGTGATTTTTACTTTTATTAGAGTGTCCGGCTGCCCAAGGTGTCTGTGTAGAAAAATTCTGGCCCTGGACAAATGTCACCTCTGACCTCTGATTTGAGCATTTATCTTCAGTCAAACTGCAGTTCAATGTTTTCTCGGCTTTCTCGTTTAAGGTTGTTGACAAATAGAGAACATGAATTTGACAGGAAGGTGAAAAAGTAGCAGGAGCTCCGTTGGTGATGTTGAGTGAATCCACTGTAGAGGCCTGTTCACACATGCATCACATTCCACTACGCTAACCCAATAAACGGTCCGGGCTATTTCAGTCAGGACAGCAGCTCCTGTTGTTCACATCGGCCTTAAATGCATTTCTTTACACAGCAGCCATTCACCAACTGACAGCTTTTGTTGTCTGCAACCGCACAGGCGTCCTGTCGGTGTGCTGCTGTCCACTTGTGGTGACGACAGCAATTTTTGTTTGGTAAACGAGGGACAAAACCTTCTCCAAACCCGGAGTCCCAGTGATGCGTTGATTCCAGTAAAGTTCAAATCAGTCCACGCTATCTTTCCCCCGTGTCTGAGAAATAATTAATTTTATTGAAGACAGTACTTCTCAAATAGTGGGGCAGGCCCCCTGGGGGGACGCGGTAAGGTGCCGGAGGGGGGGAGGTAGTTAAGGGTTTCCAATGGAATATGGCACACATATAAGTGTACCACTCCAGTCACTAGGTGGCAGCAACTCATACAGATACAAATATACATGTTATCAGGTTCTCAATAGTATTTTGATAATAATATTATTCAATAATTACTCAATAATATTTAATTAAACCCAGAAAGACACCTATGTATTTTCAATTTATTTGTGAAATCAACTTTATCCACACCCGTCAGTACTTCCAGTCCAATTTTTTCCCTGAGGTCTTGAGTTTTTTTTTTTTTTTTCCTCCTCCAAGCCTCTGTTGTGCCATCAAATGCCTGGCCACTTGTCTTCTCCTCCATCACTCTGATTGATCCACACAGCACAGTCAAATGGCGCCATCACAAAATAAGAGCATCTGCAGAGCCCTGCTGCCCTTTCTTTTAAGGAATGTCTAGTGCTGCATTTGTCTGGTTTACCTGAGGCTTTTTTTGATCATGACAGCATGCGACAGTGTTTGATTCTTGGGACACTTTGACAGGTTGCAGGCTGGGAAAGGATCCTTCAGTGTCTGAAGTTAGATCAGAGCAGACGGGGTCTGAAAAACCCAGCTTCCAGCAGGGAGAAAAAGATCAGAAGACGCAAAAAGTTTAGCAGGAACTGTTGCAAGGTACACACTGGCTACTGGCTTTCATATCGTTGTTTTTCACGTTGGTCTTTATCGCTCTCTTCTGTTCTTATCACGAAGTCAAAGGTTTGTGAGGTTTTATGTGATTTTGACACACACAAAAAAAGAAACAGGTCTTGATTGTTTCCTCTTTCAGTTGTGTCCTTAAGGTTAAAGTTTGGTCTCTTTGTGCACATTTGCACGGGTAAACTTCTCCTTTACTGTTTGAATCTAACGATATGAGGGGAAGTTGTGGTTAAAGTAATAAAGAGGTTTTTAAAGAGTTATTGCTTGGCACGGTATGTAATCAGGGTTTTTTGTGTTTGGTTTTTTATTTTTAAAAGTTAAAAATTTGCAACATTCCACATGAAATAAATTATTAAGAAATCTCATTATAGGAAGAGAATATTTCGTAACGTCGTACATTGGCTTAGTGTGCTATTGGCGTCCTCTTGTGGTGTACTAGATAAATCTTATACAGGACTTCAATACCAGAAAAACCCTGTGATGTTAGTATATTAGTGACAGTTATGGAATTTATGTTTGTTTTCCAATTCGTTAATGTGTTGTCTATTCTGTATTTAAATGTCGCTTAACTAACTTAACTAAAAATAAAAAAAAATAAAAATTTTACAATCAATTTTTGTTGTTTATTTGTTTTTATTATTATTATTTTATTAAGACATTCCACTAACCACTTTTTGTAAGTTTATGTCTCAAAGGGAGACAACGTTTGAAATTAACTTGATTTGGGTTCTACAGAGAGGTTATTCTTATTTCAAACATCACTTGCAGAGGTATTTTGACTTAAATGAACGTTAGGTTAAAGAGTATAATTTGTCTTTCAGCCTTTGGGCTACACGTCGTATGAGAATAACGGTTGCGTTGTTGCAAACCTTGTGTTTTTAAAATTGTGTGAGCTTATCATACTGGGTATCTAGAAAATACAGTAATGGCGACCTCTAGTGGTATTTAGCCAACAGCAACGTTACTTTGTATTTCTTATTCCACAAATGTGCACGATACGGGTAATGCTCAAGCAATTTTCTCTAACGTTAAGTTCAACAAAAAAAAAAAAAGAAAAGAAAATTTGCAAAACCAACAGCTAACAGCTGGTTGCTTTTAAATGTCCCTGATAAAATGATGACAATGGTTGTTTTAACCTATATGTATAACGTTTTTATGATGAATGAATGCGTCATTGAGCTTTGCTGTCATTATTTACTGATGTCTGGACAAATCAGTCTAAATTAATATAGTATACCAAAAAAGAAAAAGAAAAAGTAGTAACTCCCCGTCGGGGAATCGAACCCCGGTCTCCCGCGTGACAGGCGGGGATACTTACCACTATACTAACGAGGAGACGTGCATGCACGTTGATGAGTCGATTATATCGTTTGCAATACTTATATGCTGGAGTTCTTCTGTTGGTTTTCTATTATCTATTGTCAGTGTTTTCGATATGGAATCCGTGCACTTTCGTAGCTTAGAATGTAGCTGTTGAGCCTTATCGCGATTGTTCGGTAGTTATACCACTATTTCAATGTTTGCACATGTTCTGGTCTCATTGAGTATTATGTTATGACTTAACATATGCCTAAAATAACATCAAATTTGTTACTTGGCTGTACACTATTCCCCGGGCGCTTAAAGCTGCCCACTGTTCACTTTGGTGAAAAAGCAGAAGTCACATTTCGTTGTGTGCAGTGGTGCGCTGTGTCACAATGACAAGCAGTTCACTTTACTTCCTTCCATTTTTGTCACCTGCTTTCATTTAAAGGGGTTTTGTGTTATTTCAGTACCAACTCTCGCCTCTGGGGTGGATTGTTGGCACTCAAATGAGGCAGTGAAATTCTGTACCATAAACCTTACTCGGCTGCACTGAAACGAGGGTCGTCTGCTGGAGAAATGGCGACAACAGTGAAACTAAACACCGGTGCTGAAATGCCAATAGTCGGCCTGGGGACATGGAAGGTAAGTTCAATATTATCTTCCTATTTCCAGTCTGGTATTGGGTAATAATTAACTTGTTAGCCTCGGAGCTAGTTAGCCTTGTCCAAAGTAGCCCTATATGGTTGGATAAGTCGCGAATGAACCTTTAAGCCTTAGGTAGCTTAAAATCTGAACATGGATGCACGATAATTAATGCACGATTTATTTAATAGGGTATTATTTCACCTATTCGCCACCAGACTTTTGAATACGGACTGCGACTTTTATGAGTGCCCAAACTCAGCTAAAGTGATGGTGTTTACATTTTTCGTTTGTCCTTTTTAAAAGACATACTATATTTTATTTTTTAGTGCTATTGTCTTGGTGTGCAATATTGTCTCTAATGTGGAATATTGTATATAAAAGAAAGGTGCTTAAGCAAATTCGTTGTGATTTTTTTTTTCTTTTTTAACGCAGCTGAAACTACTGACGTTCCCGTTTAGGGTCAAATTACGTTTAACTCGATAGGGAAAAAATATTTAACGTTTTTTAATTAACTAAACTTAAGGCTCTTGTGACAGGTAATAAAAATAAAAGTAAAGTGTTGTTATAATCAGGTGTATTCAATGAGGGGAAAAAAGGGTTCTTTTGTTCTGGTTAAGTCTAACCAAAGTAGGGTTCACAGTCCAGCAATGGCTCACCAATAAGTAATTAAAACTGTCCAACTGTCCATTTTTTTCTTAAGAAACTAACTTGTTGCGTTGTATCAGTCTGCCCCTGGTCAGGTGACAGAAGCTGTAAAAGCTGCGATCGCTGCAGGTTACAGACACATTGATGGAGCGTATATTTACCAGAATGAAGCTGAGGTGGGAGAAGGTGTTAATGCCATGATCCGGGAGGGCGTGGTGAAGAGAGAAGATCTTTTTATCGTCAGCAAGGTGAGACAATTAAATCACAGATGTTGCAGTTGTGCTGTGATGAACATTTTTGTATTATTGTTATTAGTTTTTGCTACTGTTAATGCTTGTACGGGATTTTTGAATTCCGTCGTCAGCCAATAATATGTTTTGTCTCATCATTATGGTTTAATTACCGTATGTTACTTGTTGTCCTCAGAGTTAAACCAGTTTTTATTGTTTGAATTGTGGATTCGTACTTTGTTTATGTTTCTCCTGCTGTTGAGTTTTGATACTACAACCTCTGTTTTATTATTTAAAGCTGTGGTGTACTTATCATAAGAAGTCCTTGGTGAGGGGAGCTTGTGAGAAGACCCTCAGTGATCTGAAACTGGACTACCTGGACCTGTATCTAGTGCATTGGCCCTTAGGTCTGAAGGTAGTTGAATTTTTTTTTTTTTCTCATTATAGGAAGATTCCTAAGATTCCTATAATGAAGATAAGATTCCTAAAATTTTTGTGAGAATCATCCTCCAACTCGACTATTATTCTCTACTGTTACAGCCCGGCAGCGATGACTTCCCTTTGGACGATGAAGAAAAAGTCATTGGTGATGACTCTGACCTCACTGAGACTTGGGAGGTGAGCTTACATTCTGCTACAGCCCTTTGCTTTCACAATTAAAATATTAGAGAACAACTTTTCACGAAATTGTAACCAAATAAAAGGGATTCAATGACACTTATATAATATATGGGTTGTTTTTTTTTTCAGGGAATGGAGGAACTAGTTGATGCTGGTTTGGTCAAAGCTATCGGCATCTCCAACTTCAACCGTGAGCAGATTGAAGCTGTTCTCAACAAGCCTGGGCTTAAATACAAACCTGCAAACAACCAGGTACTTCTTCACACTACGACAGGAGGAGCTTTTTCATTAGACAAGTCTTGTTGGAGTCTTTTTCCTGTGAGTAAAATGAAAACCAGATCACTCCTCTGATGTCAAGCCAGAGAAACAATCTAATTTAATTCCTGACAGTATCCCCTCAGGCAGGAACACTGAGCCGCAGTGACCTTTAATCTTGGCTGCTTCAGAACCATCTGCCCCAATGAATGTCTCTGTTTGTTTGTGTTGGTTATTACATTATTAAGGCCACCACCCAACCAGTCTTTCTGCATTGTCACTGTGTAAATACACAAACACACAATAGACTTTTCATATTATTACCAGTAAACCATATTATATAGCAATGATTAAAGCTATTAATACTAACGAAAAAACCTTATTGGAGGTTTTCAATTTTGTAGTTTATATTTTTATTATGTGTTCTCTGCAAGTATAATTAGAAAATGGATGTGAAATGAGATAACACAAAGTATATGTTGCAGTAGAATAATCTTCAGCAGCAGTGTTGTCTTGATCGTTGCCAGGTGTCGACACAAGGGGCAGTCAAGGGCACTTTTTTTTTCTTTACTCCAACAAAAACTAGGTTCTACGTTTTCCTTTTATGCAGAATAATGCAAATAACATTCAAATGAAAACACCTGCCTGTTTGTTTATTCCCGCTTGTTTTTTGAGAAAGGCGTAAAACAGTTGCACACTTGCCTATTCGATTGTTTTGTGCGTTTTTTTTTTGTTGTTGTTGTTTTTTTTTTGTAATTACTGCGTAAACAATCATCAACATAAGCCTGTTTTTTTTAACACAGCATCTTTAGGTGGGGTTCTAGTCTCCAGTATATTTAGTCAAAATACGTTTCAGGTCACTGTAAAATATACACCGTGGATTTGAGAAAAAGAGATGAACTGATGTAAAATGTGTTTTTGTCGAAAATATCTCCAGTCTTGACCTGACAGCCTCTTATTGTGTTAAAGCAAAGTTGGCTTCAAATCTATTGATGGCTTCTTAATACGTGTGTGTTTTAACCACTAGGTGGAGTGCCACCCGTACCTGACCCAGGAGAAGCTGATCAACTACTGCCACTCAAAGGGCATCTCAGTGACAGCCTACAGCCCCCTGGGCTCTCCTGACAGAGCCTGGTCAGTAAAAAGAAAGAGAGAAGTCGGACCGTTGAACTTTTCTGTACAAAAACATACTTAACCTGTCGATGAAAACACAAAAGTGGAGCAAACAATTCAGACTTTTAAAAAAATGAAATGGTTTTAGTAAAATGCTGTTTTCATTGCAGGGCTTCACCAGATGACCCACCTCTTCTGGGGAGTCCCAGCATTAAGGCCATCGCCGAAAAGCACAATAAGACACCGGCTCAGGTACTGGCACTGAAGCAGAAGTGCGTTGCAGATGAGACAGTTCTGTGCATTGAACACATTGGTCCTAAATGATGTCCTTCTGTAACTGTCTCTCCTTCTCTCCCAGGTGCTAATCCGCTTTCATGTCCAGAGGAACGTGATCGCAATCCCCAAGTCTGTCACCCCTCAGCGCATTCAGGAGAATTTCCAAGTAATTAGCCAACATTTCTGTGGGTATAATCTGGGATTACCCTCCCCTGTTTCTGACCTGTGTATTAAGACTTGGTTTTTTTATGTTGTTGCAGGTGTTTGACTTTGAACTCACCGAGGATGAAATGAAAACTATTTCAGGATTTAACAGGAACTGGAGAGCCTGCCCACTACTGGAGTGAGACTTCTTAACCACCGCTGTGTCTGTTGTTGCTCTTTTCAAACGGATTCTCATGTGTTAAATTATACACTTTTTATTCACAGGGGCATAAAGCACAAGGACTACCCATTCCACGCTGAATACTGAGAGGAGGAAACACTGATCTCCCACAGTAAGGAACGAGACCTGTTACTTTCCTTGTTCTTTCGAAGGGCGGTTCACACTGCACCACTTCTAAAAGTCTTGAGCACTCCCTGTACTTTTGTCATAAGCAACACTGAAATATAGCAGCGGAGGCGTAGGCTGCTCTGCTAAATATAGATTACAAAGAAAGTAATTTGAATATTAGCAAGGTGTTTCAACCAAAGCCACGCTGCTAACAAGTGGCACTGACTTCAAGTTAGGCAAGTAGGCAAATGTGTAGTGTGTTCAAATGTTGTTGTGGCAAAGAAAAAAATAAAACAAGGTGGCATTATGTTGTTTATGCTTCAGGTGTGGCTTTATTGTGTATTCAGAAGTCATTGGGTTGAGTTGCTGTTTAAACAAGGCTAAGACTCAACTGCCGGTTATTCATTATCTGGTGTTAACCCTGCTGCTGCTCTTCAAAAAAAAAAAAAAAGCAAATACAAATAATTATATTTATAATTATTATAAAGCCCGTTTACAAAGGCATTTAGTAATAGTCGAAACACTTTTACCCAACTTGGACAATAACAATATTTTCCGGACTATACGCAACACTTTTAGGTAGTGGCCAGCCCTGTGAGTTTTAATTCTTGAGTGACCCGTTTGTCAAAAGCATACTGTACTACATTTTTATGGCCACAAGAGGGCGCCGTTTACACGGACGACAACAAGATGCTACCGCAACAAATAAAAATTACACTACTTAACACCAGTTAGTGGTTGCCTTTGAGACATAAAAACATCTCTTTAAAGTCTGCTACGTTAATATATTTAGCCAATTATCTTTTACGATGCTGTGTAAATTAATAGCCGTTTCAGTTTTAGTGGATAGTCAAAAGTTACATCATTCCCACCTACTTGACCTTATTTTAGTATCCAAACATTTCCACCCTATAGTCTTTTTTTTCCAGAACTCTCCTTATGCTGCGGTCCACCTACAGAGGTTACGTTTGTAAACTCAACCCCGCCCTTAATTTTACTCGTATTAAAGAACCTGTTCCTTTACATATCCTCTGTCAACCCCGCTGACTCGGCTTGTCCTTTGGAGAAATGGCGACGACAGTTAAGCTGAACACCGGTGCTCTAATGCCAATTGTCGGACTCGGGACGTGGAAGGTGAGTTCTGATTTTCACCCACTTTATTCCGCCTACTACTCGACTAAATTTAACCCAGTTAGCCTGTTAGCAAGATAGCTCACTGTGTAAAGCGCTACAGAAGCGATGTTGATTATGGACATTAAAAGTAAAAATCAAATAAATCCAAAAAAGTTGCTTTTAAAAAAGTACCATTTAAAATTTCGACTTAAATTTTAATACTCTAATAGGTCATTTGACGCATTAGTGAAAAATAAAAACGTTTTAGTTTTTTGCAGCTTTATTTTATCTACTATACTGACGTCATTCATTTGCCAAAAAAACCTTGGTTTTAGTTTTTTGCAGCTTTATTTTATGTACTATAATGACGTCATTCATTTGCCAAAAAAACTTTTCATTTTCAATAATTTTCATTTATTGCTGACCGTCAAAATTGTCTACTTTCAAACAGACGCCGATTGTCTAAACTAAGACAACTTGATTTACCAGGTATGCAGTAAATCAGTGTAATGTCAATAAATATTACTTCCTAATAGAGAAACAGAATACTTTTTAAATGAGACAGACTGCTTTATCAAAATAATAGTTGCCCAGTGGATATATTGGGTAAGGTAAATGTAACATGTTGTTCTTTATTATACCTTTACTGTACCATTGTGTGACTTCTTAATACAAATCTCAATTTACTGAATTGATACCACTGACCTGCTGTTTTATATTAGAGTAAATGCAAGGACGCGGTGAAAACAGCCATCGCTGCAGGTTACAGACACATCGATGGAGCATATGTTTACCACAACGAGACTGAGGTTGGAGAGAGTATTGATGCCATGATAAAAGAAGGAGTGGTGACGAGAGAGGAGCTTTTCATTGTCAGCAAGGTGAGTTGTTGGTGGGTTTTTGTTATTACTGATTTCACATGCTGTTAACTGACAGCATTTCCTTTTAAACATAAAGCTGTGGAACACTTTCCACCGGAAGTCCATGGTGAGGCCGGCCTGTGAGAAGACTCTTAGTGACCTGAAACTGGACTATCTGGACCTGTATCTGATGCATTGTCCCATTAGTTTCAAGGTAGGTACAGACTTTTTACACTAGTCATTTATCAAAATAATATAGAGAGTCTGAAGGTAGGCCTTCTACTTGTGTTATGGTGTAAACCTTATGGCTGTTAAAAATATATATTTTTATTTATTTTATTTTTTTAACAGCCTGGTGATGTTGATATGCCCCTTGACAGTGACGGAAAGGCATTCGGTGATGACGTTGACTTCCTGGAGACTTGGGAGGTGAGGGTTTACCATAAAACAAATTCAGGTTAAACTAACTTATAATAATTGTAGAGCAGACTTGATAATGAAAGGAACTAATGAAAACCTATCGTTTCAAAGAGAATGTGCCGCTTTGATAATTTAAGTATGTGATATTTTGCAGGCTATGGAAGAACTGGTTGACGCCGGTTTGGTCAAAGCTATCGGTGTCTCCAACTTTAACCATGAGCAGATTGAAGCCATTCTTAACAAGCCGGGCCTCAAATACCAGCCTGCTAACAACCAGGTGAGATGCCCTGGCAGTGTTCTTGTCAGAGTTTCTTTATAAAGTCCCTTTTTGTGTTGTTTCGTTGTGTATTACATCACAGAGACAAAAACCTGCATGTTTCAACCACCAGATGGACTACCACTGGTTCCTGTCCTGATCGTTTTAGCCTGTTGGCCTCATGCTACCTATGCTTAGCCATTACTTAAAGAGCTAGTTATTACATATTACCAAGGTTGAAGTCAAAGGTACTATTTCCAAAATACTATTAACTCCCTTTATGTGTAATAATGTTCCAGTTTGTTGATATAATAGAATTAAAGTAAGTGGGGGGAAAAAGTGAACTCCTTGTCATTGTGACACAGAACACCACTACACACAACTAAATGTGACCTCTGCTGTTAACCCATCACTAAAGTGAACAGTGGGCAGCTTTAAGCGCCTGTGGAGCAGTGTGTGGTGACGGTGCCATGCTCAGAGCACCTCAGTGGTAACTTGGCAGCTGGTGAAGCATTCCGGATCCAAGTCCGCTTCCTTAACCACTAAGCCGCCACCGCCTTAAGCAAATCGATTGATGGGGTCCTAACAGCTGTGTGTTTCAACCACTAGGTGGAGTGCCACCCGTACCTGACCCAGGAGAAGCTGATCAACTACTGCCACTCAAAGGGCATCTCAGTGACAGCCTACAGCCCCCTGGGCTCTCCTGGCAGACCCTGGTCAGTAAGCACTTTTTGTTTCCCATAAGTGTCAGAAAATATAATGTGTATGTGCTGAAAATGAGTTTGTATTTCAATTGCAGGGCTTCAGCAGATGACAAGCCACTTCTGGAGAATCCAGAAATTAAAGCTATAGCAGAAAAGCACAAGAAGACAACAGCTCAGGTACAGATAAAACAAAAACTGAAATGACCAAAAGAAATGTCTAAGTTGTGGTGACATACTTTACCTGAATCTGACTTTTATTTTTAATAGCATGTAGGAGGTATTATTTTAAGAACCTTTATCCATTTTTATGTGCGTTCCTCTCAGGTCCTGATCCGCTTTCACATCCAGCGAAATTTGATTACCATCCCCAAGTCTGTCAATCCTCGGCGCATTGAGGAGAATTTCCAAGTAACAAGTCAGAAACATTTATATTTTCCATGTTTTTGTCACAGCCCTGCATGAGAACTGAGGTTTAACGTTTTTCAGGTCTTTGACTTTGAACTAACTAAGGAGGAAATGAAAACACTGTTGGGATTCAACCAGAACTGGAGAGCCTTCACCATGCATTGGTGAGACTGTGTTCATGTATCCAGCTAAATAATACTTTTGTCGCACTGCTGAGAAGACCCACTGGAAAATCGTTCTCTCTCTCTCTTTCTCTCTCTCTCTCTCTCTCTCCCGCTCTCTCTATAGGGGCACCAACCACAAGAACTTTCCGTTTAATGCGGAATACTGAAAAAAGAGTGTGGGAAAAAGAGAGAGTTTTAGCGCCGCAGCGTTGAGATTTGCCTTGTTCCTTAGAACGAATGCAATTGCTATGGCTTTATAGAATGTATTTTTAGACAATATGAAGGTCACAAACACTACATTTTTTATGGTTTTTTTTTTACAGGTTTAATGGTTTTTAGATTTCTCTGTGTAGGTCTCAGGTCCCTCCCACATTTTTTCCCGCAGGCTAGGGTTAATTGAATACATTTTAAATCGACCATTTTAAATTAACTCTACAGTATGTGTGGCTGTCCATGATGTACCCGACCCTCATCTGATAAAAAAGTGTCATGTTCTAATTACGTAATACTCATTTTTATGATGGTCTTGACTGTCTGCTTCAGTTGAGTGTTTACATTAAAATAACCAGACAGAGGCCACAGATAAAGAGACACAAAAAGAAACAAATACTATTGATGTGTGTTTTATTTCCAATTGAATGTATCATGTGTTTATAATATTAAACTTTGGTTATTCCAGATTTAATATTTACACAAAACTAAATATGAAAAAATCTGCATTATACATCTGGTGAGAAGGTAAAACTGCCGTAAATTTTTCAATAAATATTAATTTCAGTCCGCGACTTTGCTCCAGTTTTTCATTTTGGCCCTCTGTGAATTTAAAGTTTGACACCTCTGCTGTAATTAATGGACTGGAAACACTTTTGACAGGCAGAACAATTCAATATGTTTCCGCTAGTTGGCAGCATATAGCTAGTTGATCTGCGTATCTACCTTGCCGTTCAAGCAATATAATTCGAGACACTTCTGTTGTAGCAGCAATCATAGCAATGGATACATTGTAAGTAAATTAAAATTAGAAGATTATATGTCATGACATATCATGTTTGTGTCATATTTGTTCGTTGGCTGTTCATAGGACGTTTCTTATGTAATATATTTGTAATTATATGCTATGTGTGGCTCAAATAAAGTTGGGAAACACTTCAGTAAACCTTTGCCATTAGCCACTGAGCTATTAGAACGTCGTTAACACTGCATCAAAGTGGTTTAAGGTGCACTGTCGAATCATTTTTGTATAAAAACGGTGACAAATTCATCCCTGAAGAAGGTGCTACAATATCATTCTTCTATGATTTGGTAAGCACCAGTGGTTTTATTAGCATGGGGGTTTCCAAGTGCGGGACACAAATCCACTAGGGGGCGGCAGCACTTCAGGGTAAGCGCTAAAGGGGGAAAAGAAAGGTGGCAGTTTTGTCCAATCACGAAACACAAATCCGGCAAAACTTTTAATTTTGAACGGGAAAAGTGTCAACGTGTTTTTTTCTCAGTGCAGTTTACCGTTCATTACGTTGTATCAATCTAAGTGGGTTAACGGCGCAACAGCCGGAAACGGAACTCAGTGCAAGGACTTAATAGTCCTTTTCAAAATAAAAGTGTTGCGATAACTCCACAGATTAAAAGTAACAGATAGATAGTTTTTTATTGGGGTTTGCAAAAGATATACAATTGAAACATTTTTATAGGAAAACAAAACATATATCAATATTTCTTTCAATGGTAGATTAAGAGAGAAAGAACAAGCTGTTGCATTACACTGGTTTCTTTTTTCAAAACCAGATAAATAGTTTTATAATTAAAATTGAGATTGCTCCGTACACTGACCCAATTATTCTCCATTCAGAGGGAAATCCTTGTGTTTGGTGGCCCTGTGATGAAAAAAAATGAATAGGTTAACATGTTTTTGCATAGAAGCATATTTATCTCATAAATGATGATGTGCACATGCTCACCAAAGCACTGGGAATCCTCTCCAGTTCTTGTTTAATCCCAACATGGTCTTCATATCGTCATCACTCAGCTCAAAGTCAAACAGCTAAACAAGAAAAGGCCCCAGGACCATATGGAGATGAATGACATTTATCTGATATAAAAACTCTGGATGAGTTTTTTTTTCTTTTAAATTATAATAAATGAACATCAAGAAAGTACCTTTAAGTTTTCAGTAATCCGACGAGGTGTCGCTGACTTAGTTATCACAATCACATTCCTCTGAATGTGGAATTTGATGAGGATCTGCAGGAGGAGAACGGGTCGTTTGTTCATGGTCCTAGTTTATGGTCTATGTTCAGGATCTTCCAGAATTATTTAGCATGGGGTCGTTTGTTCATGGTCCTAGTTTATTGTGTGTATGGTATGTCCAGGATCTTCCAGAATTATTTAGCATTTTTTATTATTTTATTATCCTTTGGTGCTGGTGATTAATCCATTTTTGTATATATTTAAAATTTAAAGTAAGGCATGACGCCTTTTTTTTTTTTTTACAGAAGTTCTGCCAATTTAGCAAATGTTTTCAGGCCCCCGGCTGTTTTTAAAGCTCACGCTGTGTGTTCTTGCTGCCTGTATAACACTTAGTCATCTGATGGAAAGTACTCAATGTTTATGTTAGCTTGAAATTGTACAGAGAATTTGCCTAGTTCTAAGAACACGCTGTAATAGAGTGGAACTGTGAAAGTAAATTGAAAAACAATCCCTATCCCATATTTAAAAATGAAGGACGTTGTCACCAACCTGCGCTGGAGTTTTCTTGTGCTTTTGTGCGATGGCCTTGATCTTTGGGTCTTCCAGGAGGTAGGGTTCATCAGATGAAGACCTGTGGTGAATAAGAATCCAAAAATAAACCCTACGTAGAGGCCTCTTGACTTTGACATGAACCATGTATGTGACATACGATGTGTCCTCTCACCAGGGCCTGTCAGGGGAGCCCAGAGGGCTGTAGGCTGTCACTGAGATGTCCTTGGAGTGGCAGTAGTTGATCAGCTTCTCCTGCGTCAGGTATGGATGGCATTCGATCTGTAGAAGAGGAGTAGACCAGCTCCAGCTCTTATTGTCTTCTTGCTAAACGGTACTGTACAGTATGAGTTTTTCTTTTTTACCTGATTGTTCTCAGGTTTGTACTTGAGACCGGGTTTGTTGAGTAAAGCTTCAAGCTGATCTTTATTAAAGTTGGAAACTCCAATAGCCTTGACCAGTCCGGTGTCCACCAGCTCTTCCATAGCCTATTTGAGACACAGTTTATAGGTATAAAGAAACTTTTATGTTGAAATAAGGCGCAATAAGGGTTGTTTTTTCTTTAATATTTACCTCCCAAGTGTCCAAGAAATTGCTGTCATCTGCAATGACCTGGCCTTGATCGTCTAAGGGGAACAGGTCCTCACCGGGCTGCAAATGTAATGATCAAACAAAATGGTTAAAATTACAGCAATCTCGTGAACAGAACCAGCAACATGAATCTTTAGATTCAATTTCTTTAGAAATTAGCAGTACTACTTAACAGTAGAAACATTTTTTGATATAAATAACCTGAACAAATATAGAAAATTAAATAATAAAATAAATTCAATCAATTCAATTGTAATGTATGGTCAATCTAGGCTCTGAATCGTGCGGACACATGACTTCCTTCCCTTAAAAGCACGTGTCAAACTTAGGGCTGGTGGGCCTAATCACCAAGTTATTTTGTGTGTCGTCCTAACAATGAGTTGAGTGTGTGAGTGATTGCTGACTTCCTGCTGTGGTGGATTAAATTGAATTAAATTCTTCCTTGTTCAGTGAAAATATGTCTGTAACTGAACATGATCACAGAAAAGACCAAAGGCGACAAAGAGTTTCCTTTTCATACTCAACAAACAACCACAACTGTAGCCAGACCTTGACCCCCATAGGGAAGTGCATGAGGTAGAGGTCCAGGTACTTCGACTTGAGGTCACCGAGCGTCTTCTCACACGCTGTCCTCACCAGAGATGGACGGTGGAAGGTGCACCACAGCTGTGGAAGGCAAAACAACAAAGTTTATTTTGTGTTTGGTTCACTGCAGTGGTTCCCAAACTCTCTCTGCTGGGCAGATCAAACAGGCTCCTTTGTAATATTATCACTGCCTTCAACCAATCTGTCTCTGGTTTGCAGGTAAAACATGTACATCATTGGACAATATGTCCAATATGCTGCATTTACATTTTATTCATTCTTTTCATCTGCGACCCCTACTTTGGGAACCTCTGGTGTAATGTAATGAGTTACGAGTGTCTGTGTCATGCATGACGGTGTAATTAGGAAATAGTCCTGTGACTGAAGCATGTAATTTTCCATGTATGTTCACAGTAACTCCCTGTACAGTAATACAAGGAAGGTCACATTTGGGGGAAGAGAGCAAAACTGTGTGAATCATTGTTTTGGTCAAGCCCCTCTTTAGTATAAAACTAAATTTTCAACACCAATTTTCAGGTTACATGTTGACCCCACCTCCCCACCGCCTTTACTAACACCTGTTATAACATGAACAGACATATTACCTTACTGACAATGAACAGATCCTCGCGCTTCACCACTCCTTGCTCAATACTCTCCAGGATCCCAGTCCCGACTTCTTCTTCATTCTGGTAAACCAGAGCACAGTCGATGTGCCTGTAACCAGCTCTAATTGCCAGTTTCACGGCCTCGCTTCCTTTTCCATGGTCTGCCTGCAGAGAGTGATGCAAAAAATAAGTTGTGAAATTATCCCCAAAATGTTGTGCGTTTATGTTTGGATTCCTAAAAAAAAAGATATGTTTTTTTTTTTTTTTTTTTTTTTTTTGTGTCTTTTTCAAGGTCATGAGTTGTAGTCAAATTGGAGGAAGATGATGTGTTAGAACAAAATAGTGCCACCTGCTGGAAAAATTCAAATTGGACAAATATGCTCTCTCCATTCCAGATGGAACAGAACAGAATCAACAATCGTTTAAATTTATTCTAAAAAAAAAATTCTTATTCAATCCATTCCAGATGGAACAGAACAGAATCGTTTAAACAATCGTTTAAATGTATTCTAAAAAAAAATTCTTATTCAGCAAACCCATCTTCTCTTGTTCTAAATGTTTAATAGAATTCTGGGTAATTCTGATTCTGTTCTGCAGTCACAGCCATTTCAGGGGGAAAAAAATATCTTGAATTTATCACACAAGGAACTCACAAACACATTAAATGCAGACACGTGGAAGAGTGAAAAATTAAAAATGGGACTTACCCTCCATGTTCCCAGACCTACAATGGGCATCTTTGCACCATTGTTGAGTTTAACTGAAGGTATCATATCAAAAGGTTCAGACTGAAGTCTTCAGCTGTGTCTGCACTGCACTAGGTCCTGACACGGGGGAGCCTTCTTATGAGAACACAGTAGGAGGAGCAAGTGGAGGACGGGAGCAGAAAGACATTTGTCACAAAAAGTTAGTCACGTCTGTTTCCAGATACTAGTCCCTTTGCCTTTTTGTCTGAATTAATTTGAAGGCTGTCAGAACATGGGTTAAATGGATCTATTTTATAAGAATAGTAAAGCTGCAGAATAAATTTTGATTTCACGCACTCATGAGTTCTGAAAAATGTAATGATTCTATTCAAAAGTTCTCCATAACTGTCGTTGTTTACAGAAATAATCACAGAGTCACACGAAAGAGAAGAAAACCAGATATGTGACTTATGTTCCAGTACAGCTTACAAGTTGTGTTTAGAAACTGAAGATTTAACTGATTTGAAGCTGCTTGTTACACAGAGGGTGGTGGAAGTCTTTACTCACAGATCTGTTTTTATTTATCCAGACCAGAAGCCAACGCTGGAAGGAAAAGGGGCCGTGAAAATGACAAACGGGAGTCCAACCTTTGACCTTCTGGTAGGTGAAAAAAAAAACTCCACATGAACTTACCCTTTTAATTTTTTTTTTTATTAATTTGTCAAACATTACTTAACAAATCAACATTCAGGGCTCTCATACATGTGCACAATCGCACAAAGTACAGACATTAGACAATGACATCACTGTGGTCTGTACAGAGAGGCAACGTGAAGAGCATTAAGGTACTAAATATTGCACATAACGATCAGTTTAGGAAACAGCCCCTTCGACCGATCAGCTTCACTGGCGTCTGGCAGCTACGATGTCGTACAGTAACTACAGTGTGAAAACAGCTGGGAGCTACAGAAGCAGTAGCCGCGGCCGCCAGTGTTGGTCTCACAGGACTGATTATATTCGTGCCCTGATGGAAGAAAGGTAGATACAGCTCTGTAGGAAAACTTAAAATGAGGTAACAGTTGATCATGGCCAACCTGCACACGTCTGCTGTAAAGCTCTATTTTTTGAACAATATCCTATGCAAGTGCTAAAAATTCAAAATTTGTTTTGTTGAATTGTAATTGTTTTTTAAACCCAAGACAAAAAATAATGTGTAAAAAATAAAGCCAGGAAGAATTTTAAGGTAAAACCAGTCCTTAACAGATATGTAGTGAAGTATTATTATTGTAAATAATAATAATCCTCTAATGTGAGTCTGGGGGACATAATTGTACTGTTATCAAATTGAACACAAATCACCAACATGCACCTGAAAAGCCAGTAAATGTAGAAGTACGATATGTGTTTGAAACTTACACCTACCACTATGTGTCATACGAGTTATAAAGTGAATGACTTATTGCTTTGAAGCATCAAACCTGCTCAGATATTTGTTCCAGGAGCAACTTACATACAGGGAAGTCAAAAAAAAAAGCCACACAAAACCATTCTAGAGTTTCATCAAGAGATAAATTAGCAAATCAATTCCAAAACCAAACAAACAAACAAAAAAAGGAACAGCAGAGTCCCAAGTAGATGTGCTCACTGGTGCATCATTCCCCGCTGGTCTTAAGAACAGTCAGTGAAGGTGGTCACCATGTTCCCTCTGCGCTGGGTCACTGTCCTGCAGTGCTGCTTCCCCGTGTTCTGGAATTTGTTCTCAGTCCTTGTGTGCGTGTTGAAGGAGAACATCTTCTCCAAGTCCTCAAACATATTGTTGAAGACGCCGCCGCCGCCGCCACCGAACGCTCCTTGCTGAAACTGTCCCCTGTGTCTGTTCATGGCCTCGCGGTGGGCCTGGGCATGAGCTTCAAAGTGTCTCTTGTGATGAGCTTGATGGTTTGCGAAGTTCGGGTTGGAGTGAAAGTGGTGTTGTTGTTGATGTTGGCCAAAATGGTCAAAGTCTTTCAAAATGTCATCAAAGTTGAAATTAAAGGACTGAAAGTGCTGGCGGAAGTTGTAGTTGCCACCACCACCTGCGTGGCCGCCGCCTGTGTAGCTGCCGCCTGTGTGGCCGCCTCCACCGTGGCCTCCTCCTGGTGATGAGCCGTGGCCAAATTGGTCATATTCTTTACGCCTCTTGTCGTCGGACAAAGTCTCGTACGCTGAAAGAGACAAAAACATATATGTCATTAATTACATTAACGGAGACATTTCTACATAAAACATATTTTACTTCACCTCGAAGCAATGTTGTTATGTTTGTTATGTAATTAGTGACAGCGGTAGGACATTCCAGAGTGTATCCTGGTTAAACCCAGGTAAAGGCGTGTGAATAAATAGAATCCCAAACAGGTCTTTAACACTGAGCCGTCACAGTGACACACATCACCTGCAACTCTACAGAATTAGTATTCTTTCATAGATATCATGTGACCTAATGTATTACAACAAATTGCTGCACAAATTAAAAGATCCAAGAAAGACATTGTTGCTTTTAAAACCAGCATGTCATTACAGATTATGAAATTTTCTTCTAGCCCATCTTAAAACACCTGAGCTGCACCGTAAACAAAAGTGCTATGGGAATATATTTGTCATAAATATGGACGGTGCCAAGAGTATTGTGTATTTGCTACCTTGCTAGGTCAAATACAAATTCAATTTGACAGTAAATGTAAATTATACTGCAGTACAAATGGCATATAATTATTATTGGATGCTGTGCAGTCAGTGCCCGAGTTAAGAGAGAGAGAGAGCTAACTTGAAAAGGTATGAATGTATTAAATAGTTATGAATATATCATAAACCTCACATTTGAATTGCTACTAGTTAAGGAATCTTAGCATCTCACGTAACGCACATTTAACGTAGAAAATACATTTAGTCACAGTGTTCCTAATTGGTAAATAACTAAACCGCTTCAAGAATATGACAACTCGTTATTTAGACAGACGTGTCCAAAAACTCACTGACATGATGACTCACCCTCAGCTATTTCTCTGAACTTTGCCTCAGCGTCCGGCCCCTTGTTTCGGTCGGGATGGTATTTCAGTGCCAGTTTGTGGAAAGCTTTTTTAATCTGGCGCTCGGTGGCATCTCGCGGCAACCCCAGTATCTCGTAGTAGTCCCGTTTGGCCAGAATAAACTCCGAGATGAGTAGGACGTGGACTGCTAGCAACAACATGGACTGTGCTGTGGCCATGGTGGTGAGTCTTTTTTGGCACCTTCTGTGGCTGAGGAGAGAAGTTTGACAGCTCAGCTTGGCAACAGTTCACTGAGCCCCTTTTTAATAACTCAAAATACCATCAACAAGCAGCCATTACTATGTGGCGTATTAACATTAATAACTAACGTCACTAAGAAAGCTAGTTTTACAGAGACGCTATGCTAAGAAAAAACACCCAACTTGTTACGGTGTATGATGTATACTTGCATTGTTGTTTTATTCCTTTGTAAAAGCATACAAAACAGGCGCTACGTAACAATACATATATGACTGCGTCACAGAGAAGGGCGCTTACCTGGAGACGCGTTGACACACAGCCTTGGAACAGCCCCTATCACCTGCCAACAGCTCCAGCTGATGCTATAAGCCAAGCTAACCGTTGTTGACGAGCTGCATTCCTAAGCTGTAACACCACGACTCGAAACGCTATTGGTTCACTGGCCAAAGCAGTGACTGGAAGCACTGTGATTGGTGGAAACTGTGGCCACGTGGAAGCAGGGATATCGGAAACGATGTTACCAGGGATTTTAAACAAACAAGAAATGATCTCCACGTACTTTCGATTTTGCCATTCACCCGCGAGTGAGTGTTTTCAGGTAGAAAGTCCGTTTTATTTAGCCTTTTCGCTCATATTTAGCGTGATAAAATAGCAACCGCATTTTTATCTTGTAATATAAGATACGAATTTACAACACGATTATTTCATGTACATAGTTGTAAATCCCTTTAATACGATGTAAGGCACTCGCGTTGACGTAATTTCTGTTTTATGGTGGTTCTGAATAAATGTGTCTTTTACCTCTGTTATTGGTGGTTCTGAATAAATGTGTCTTTTAACCTCTGTTATTAAAGCAGCTCTGTGGTGAAGAAATCCATTTATCGCCATTTATGTAATATAATTTTCATATTCTTTTTATTTTTTTTATATACTGCCGTCGTCAAGCTTATCACCATTACCAGATTAAACACTAGAGACGTTATAGTTCCTTTTCATCTGTGTTTCGCTTCAGTATTCATCATTTAATGCTGTGAAGAATACATCAAAGACTGAATTATATATGTATCAAATCTTTTAGAACATGTTGAAGATGAAGATGAAAAAAAACTTTTTTGGATATTAATGTAATTAAAAGCAGTAAAAAAAAGAAAGAAAGAAGCTTAATTTAAGGTGATCCAAAGGCCTCAATAGAAAAGGCAAAAATGCAGTCGTATACAACACTGAACATTGCTACTAATAACACAGAGATGGTGTTTGCACTGCAACTCCCATTAGACATTTGCTTCGCCTTTCAAACAAACAAAAAATTAATTCAAGTCCTGCTATCAGCTTACAAAACTGGAAAGGGGAGCAGGTCACAATCTCCATATGTTGATGTTAGTATTACATATTGCAACAGGCGTGGTCAAACTTTTTGACTGGGGGGCCGGGTCAGGAGCAGTTAGATGGAGCATTCATGTGAACTAAGATAAATGACATGTAAAAGTCATGCATAAAGACCAAAATGCTAAGGTGATTTTATAATTTTCTACGCTATCAATTGGGGAAACGTGGTTATTGCGGGGAAAAGGCAGCAGTATAATGATCATATAAACAAATTATATAATTTTGAAATGTTTGGCTGGTCAGATTAAAAAGATGAATGGGCTGCATCCGCCCCCAGGCCTTAATTTGCCCATGCCTGTATTACATGAAATCAGGAATGTCATTCTGTCATTGTGCTTGTTGCCTTGAAAGCACACAACACTGACTCAGCGTGATATTCTACAATTAGCAGTCAATTCAGGGCTTGTGTCACAGACACTTTAACACTGTTGTCTTGCTCTAATTCGATGTTTCTCCTGTGCATGTTTGATTTATTTTATTTATATCTACAGTGTTTGCATTTATCAGCATGATTTCCTGCACCATGGATCATAAAAGATTTAGTGAAAGCACATTTGGCGTGCTGTTCTTGGAAAAAAGTTATAAAAAGAATCACCGATATAATTACAGCAGCTGGGCTACACAAGGATTATTTTCTGCAATATAATGGTTACTTCTAATCGGTCATTTGTTTTTGTGGTGTTTTAATGTAGAAATGGTTGAAATTGTCAATGAGGAAACTCTCATTCATCATAATTTTACTAGTTTTTCCCGACATACCAGAAGTGTTCAGTCACCTAAAATAAAATAAAATGGAAATGAAACAATTATCTACTCATTATGAAATATTTGACAATATTTTTTATTAATAATAAATAATAACAATTTGCTGTAATAGTGAATTGAATGAAAACCCAAAACACTTCAGATACAGTGACATGAAGGCCTAAAAGGTTTTGATAAGTATAATTTTATGTTGTGGTGACACATATCGAATTGTATTCAATTTTCCAATTGACCATTTGCATTTTAAAAATAGAGAATGAAACCAGTAATTAATACATATGTAATTTATTTTTACTCTTTGACATTCGAATGTTTTATTTGTGTGTATTATAAAATAGTCTATTTATTTTTGTATCAAACATGTTCTAGTAATTATAACTTATAAATATGTTTGTCGCCCCCTTGTGTCAAATATAAAATACTGCCGAGGACTGAAGGCACGTCACTTCCGATGTTCTTCCTGTTTATTATTTCACAGCCCGCAGTACATAGAATGAACAGTTTCCGCAACGGTCTCAGTTGTGAAAGGTAGGCAATGTTGACATCTGACTGTAATCAGGTTTACATGAGGTAATCAAGGATAGCAGCGAAAAATGTGCTTGTTAGGATTACATTTTAGTTTTCCTCTTTACAGAGCTCGGCTGTCCTCCATGTTTGGGAGGTGTTTATTCATTCAAAGAAGAAAAACATACTTAGCCATTTTTCTTTCTGAGAAAGCTTGATTTAATTTGGAAATGAACAATTTTAAAAAGCAGGGGGAAATCGTGACGGTAACATAAAATGAATATATGATTTTTATTTTTAAATAGCACGATTAAAACATTAAGTGCGTATTATGCGTTGCGTCTGTGTGTCGAAAACACGCCAGCAATTGTTGGTATGGTATGGCTATTGTTTCACAGCTTTACGTCATTCTGGAGCAAAGCCTTATTCTCAATGACATCCAGCAGCCACTTCTCCCTGAACACAATGGCACCGGCTTTGTGTACCAGCCTATGTGACTCGATGACAAAGTGCACCTCAACGGGTAGAGTTAAAGGCTTCACTTTTGACCAATGAACGACAAAGTAGACGCTGGCAGTCCCCTGAATGGGCCTCTGAGGGGTCGGGGTGCTAAACCGAGCCCGGTAGTGACAGAAGGTGTGGTGCTCCTCGTCAGTGGTGGAGAGAAAGTCCAGACTGTAGAGCCAGCAGGGCTTCAGCTCCCAGGTCTGGATGTAGTCCCAGATTTGCTGTTTCCCCACTTCCACTGTAAAGTCCCCGATCCGGATCCAGTTCACTGTGGTGGTCGTTTGTTCACGTTCAATATCTTCCCGTTCGTGGGTCAAAGTCCTGCGATAGCGTTCCAGCAGGTGCTTTTCTAGGTGATCCGACTCCGCTGTATTACACATATCGGACGTCGCTATGTTCTTTCCCACTGTACGTTTATTGCAGTGTTTTCCAAATAGTTCATTATGGCTGCCGTCACCGTTTGATTTGTTTTTAGTTGAGTTCCCATGGTCACCAGGGCACATGCCCCCTACTGGTTTCTCTTCTCACCTGCATTGTAACACTTTTTGAGTTCTGGTCTTGTTTGTTTGTTTTGTGTGTGTTTAGGTCTACATGGTGTTAAGATTATTTCTATATATTCTAATGGAAAAATCCAGACAAGCACCTTTTTGCGTGAGGCTTTATTCAGACAGAACAAATTTGCATTTAGAATTGTTGGCCAGTAATCCAGTATGAATGAAAAATCGTTGATTTGAAAATTGTCATTTGTGATCCAATGAGAAGTTGGCAGGTATCCCGTTGCCTGAATTTATTTATTTTCTTCTCAGAGAGCAGACGCATGTCTCGGATCAGGACCACGCTCGACAGTGTCACCAAGGCAGTTGGCAGCACGGACCTGATCTCCAAGATTTCTCGCCTGAAGCCTGGTGGTGCAGCAGTCAGTGGCGCCCATGTGGACAACATCCTGGTCAACTCTGAGACCCCAAACAACAACTCTGCTCCCCCGTCACCTGAAGCCATCATGAAAGAAGAGGACGAAGGTGGAAAGAATGTGGCAGAGAAGGAGCAGGAGGTTCAAGTGAGAGAAAATTCTGTCGTTGCCACCAAGAAATCCAAACCCAGTTTACTCTCGGCTGCCAACGTCTCGTCCTCCACTGTGGCAAAACAAACCATCCAGCTGTTTCAACCGGCAGCTCTTTCCACCAACATGGATGAAACCTATAAAACTCTGGCCCAGCACGTCAACAATTACTTTGGTATGACCACGCAGGAAGAAGTAGAGAACACAGCACAGCAGCAGGACAGAGTTGGTGACAGAGCTCAGAGTTCTGACTCTGTTCCTCACCTGTCCTCTCAGAGAGCAAAGGAACCAGTTCTTATTGCATCTCCAGTAGCAGAGGCTAAGATTATTGAAGCAACAACTACCTCACCTTCTATATCCATAACACAAAACCCTGCATGTGGGACACCGCCCTCCTCTGACACCCCCAAAACAGAAAATGCTACTCGTACAGGTCCTTTGACGACTACCTCCGCCAAGAAGGGCTTTACCCAGTATCTGTCCTACCCACGGCCCAGTGTTCAGTCTTTTGTTGGCAGCTACATTGCACCACTGGTCCCTAAATTCAGAGGTGACTCCAAAGGCAACACAGCTGAGAAAGACAGAGTTCCAGCGGTCGCTGCAGAGGAGCCTGCTACTGATTGCAAGGTCACGGAGAAGACGGAGAGTGAAGAGGGGAAAGTAGATGAAGCAAAGCAGCAGCTGTTGACGCAAAGACAGAAGGTACGACATAACAAGAAGTTTGTCACCATGAAACGTAGGCAGCATTATTCAAACTCAAGGTTTAGATATTGTTCACACTGTGGGTTTTTTTGTTATGCAGATAACAGCCAGGGTGGGTGTTGACAACCGGACCAGAACTCTGGTCAAAGGGCTTCAGGGAGTCGGTGATGTTAAGCTCCTCACTACTCGAGTGGAGGAGCTCAGCTTCCATCTGCTGGAGTTCCCTGAGACCCGAGCTGCGGCCGTCAAGGTTGTTGTTGTTGTTGTGTTTTAATTTTACAAACCCTGCACCTCAACCAACTACCATCAGATTATTGTCATGTTCGCTGCGCTGACGTGACACTGTGACCTGCAGGAGAGCGTGTTGCCCTGCCTGCTGCGTTTGCGTCAAGCCAGAGACCTCCCTCTCCAGGCTGCTGTACGAGAAGCGCTGGCTCTGGTCGGCTACGTCGAACCAGTCAAAGGACGGGGAATTCGAGTCCTGGCCATCGATGGAGGAGGAACTAGGTAAGTAGGAGTGAAATATTGAGAATGGCTGCACTTCCTGTGAGGTGAGAGGAGTCCTGTCCTAAGTAAAGACATCTTCAACAGGTGTTTGATGACCTCTAGGGGATCTGCAGGGTACTGTCAGAGGCTGTAATTTTTTTGTTAGAATTGTTTTAGAATATATTTACATGTCTTACCCATACATGTGTGTAGAGATGTATATATATACATATATGTATATTTATTTTTATGTATTATGTTGTCCCTCAGTTTATGAAAATTGTTCAGAACATTTTTAGAATTGTTGGCCAGACTGCATTCTAATGAACAGACTTGTGATTGGTCAGTCACAGTAGACAGACTTGCATTTGTCAGTGTACATATACAGGCACATGTGTACACATGCACAAGTTATTTGTGTATGAATTGGAAAAAAACAGACGCATTATTAAACTATAAAGGCAATACAATAACAATAAAGGCACACCTTTATTGTAAAAACCCTCATCTGTCATTGCTAACCAATGTCTTGTGGTAGTTACGTGTACTTCATGGCTGTTTTTTAATCACAGGGGTCTGCTGGCTCTACAGACTCTCCATAAACTGCAGGACCTGACTGGGAAACCAGTCCACCAACTCTTCGACTACATCTGTGGAGTCAGCACAGGTTCAGTGTCACCTCTTTGTTCAGTTGCCGTCCTCTTCATGGAGCATGTGATTTTAAACAGAAACCCTTTGTGTCCCTTTGCTTTAGGAGCCATCTTGGCCTTCATGTTGGGGATTTATCAAATCCCCCTGGAGGAATGCGAGGAGATGTACAGGAAGTTGGGCTCGGACGTTTTCAAGCAGAATGTCATTGTCGGGACCATGAAGATGGGCTGGAGCCACGCCTTCTATGACAGTGAAATCTGGGAAAACGTTCTCAAGTTAGTCATTTCTTTTATATCTTTTGTAGTCAAAATTATTCGAAGGAACTCTCCTCTCTCCTCTCCTTTGTATTGTTCTCTAATTCTTTATTTTTGTCTTTTTGTTAAGGGAACGCATGGGAGAAGGTTGTATGATAGAGAGTGCCAGGGACCCACACTGCCCCAAAGTAAGTTGCAACCTTGTTTTTTTTTTATTGTCACATATTGTTTTTCACATTTTAATCTGATCAATTTCAGTGGACCTGGGAATCGACACAAACCGTTATTTGATTCAGTAGATCAAAAATTTCAGTTGATTTGACGAAGCCGTTTTTATCCACTAGGTGTCAGCAGTCAGCACTATTGTAAACAGGGGTCTACCACTGAAGGCCTATGTGTTCAGGAACTACAGACTCATGCCTGGAGTGAGATCCCACTACCTTGGAGACTGCAAACACAAAATGTGGCAGGCCATCAGGGCCTCGTCCGCCGCCCCAGGATACTTCCAGGAATTTGTCCTGGGAAAAGAACTTCATCAGGTATGAAATGTTCTAAAACGTTTTCTGCTCGAGCAGAATGTAATTGTTAGGACTGCGAAGATGAAAATTAGTTACTTAGTCGTTATTCTCAAATTCTTCTGCTCAACAGCAGAAGACCCCTTCAAGGTTTACTTTCCTCATATTAATTTACCATATATGTGATTATTGATTGATGGCAAGGTCTGTAAGGAGATTACAAAGCGAAGCAGTCGTGTCTGGAACTGTCACAGGGATGACAGGACGATGCATCACTCACTGAAAGCATTAAAGGCCTTTGCCTCATTTCAATCAATACCAAAGACTCTGCTCTTTCTGAAAGAGCGTTGCCAAAGACCGCTGCTGTCCACTGTGTTTTTTTTCTCCCTCAACTGTGTGTGTGTGTGTATGGATGCGTGTGGATTTGCTTCAATCTGTCCGACCCATTAGCTTGGAGGCAGTCTCCTGATTCATGATTGGTTCTTTGTCTCCTGAGGTTGTCATTCATTCGAAGCACAGAGAATGTGATGATGATGTAGAGTGGCCGTACTCCGCTGTCCTCGAGGGTAATTGATCGTTTTCTCTGATTTCTCATGAAACTGAAATGTTGAACTGGGCTCCGGTCCGTCACACCCACTGTCTGAAAGCATCTTAAATAAACAGCGTCTGTGTCAGTGAAGGAAACAATCAGACTATTTTATTATGATTTTTGTCTTCTGTTGAAACAGATACAATATTGTGTCAGCGTGCACTGTTTTCCATATTTTTCTACCAACCGTCTAAGCAGCTGTTGCCACCCACTAGTCTCACTCCACCTCTAGTTTTCAGGACTTGCAGTGGTATTTCTCGAGACAATTCTTTTGCCTTGGTATGTCGGTAAAAAATTGTGTTTGTACAGACACATCAAATATAGAGGAGAAGGGCTATATTTTCAGACTGAAAATGTAAATAATTATAAATGTCTAGCACAGTAATTTACCTTCTCTTACGGTCAGTTTTTTTTATTCTGTTCAGTGAGGTGACACTGGGGTCAGAGAAGGTTGAAGGTCGTACCACAGCAGCAGCTGTGCAATTAACCTGCTGTCACGAGAGTGCAAACCGTTTTAACTGCACCTGAGGGGTTTATGTTGAGAATAACATATTTTAAAACTGCCAGTATTATACTTGTGGCACAAACTAGAGAGGTGCTAGTTTGAATCCCAGCCCCTGCATGGCTGAAGAGTATTAAGCAACTCCCTAAAAAAGAAACGCTGACAATTTCTGAGATATGTGTACAGTAAGGGTTCCCAAAGTGGGGGGCGGGCACCCCCATGGGACATAGAGCTATTGCTTAATGGGATGCTGCAAGGTATATGAATTTTAATTTCAATATTGTCTTTGTTCAGCGATCGCAGGAGTTTTGTAGCAATTCAGTGTTTGACATTTTTTTTTTAGCTGATTTTTTTATAATTCTTCAGTTAAACCTTCCTGTTTTCCTTTGCTGCATATCTTTGGTCTGGGAGCATATTTTTACGTCTCAGTCCATCATGTCCTCTTCACCTCATTTGTCCCATAGGTTGTCACAACAAATACCTTCGAAACTAGAGGAACATTCCCCGCACATTCTTGTAAAGTGATGTGGAAATGCTCTCAGTCATTTTTTTTTTCTTTTTAGGATGGAGGCCTTCTTATTAACAACCCCACGGCGTTGGCCATACATGAGTGCAAGTGTCTGTGGCCCAACACACCCCTGCAGTGTGTGTTGTCTTTGGGCACCGGACGATACGAGACGGCAGGAAAGAACAACACCACCTACACCAGCCTGAAGGCCAAGCTCACAAATGTCATCAGCAGTGCCACAGACACTGAGGGTAAGTTCAGTGATTATACACCGTATGATGTGTGGGGGAAAAAAATCCAAATACATGCTGTTACTTTTTGCTGGGTTTTGCTTCCACCTGAGTTGTGCAGTTTTTTCTGTGGGTGAGAGTTATTCCCTCCTTTTGATCAGCAGCTCCCTGCTTCACCTGTGTTCTGATCAGCTGCTCCTCAGCAAGGTCATACCTGTGTTCTCTCCTTCAAGGACAATCAGTGTGTGTGGGAGGTTATATAAACTGAAGCTGCTGCTCTGAGTCAACTGTTTCAGTTGATTCTCTGAGTGAGGGAGGAGGATGTGTTTGGTTTCACTCTTGTGTTAAAAAACTTTTCTTTTTGTTTTGCTTCTCTGAGGTTGGGGTCACTATGTGGTTCATCCTTCGTTTTGCTAAAATCAGTGGGTGGGTGTTTTTATATCTACCTATCATCCAACAAAAAGTCTGTTCCCTCGTCCATTCAGAGGTGCACACCATGCTGGACGCCCTCCTGCCACCCGATACCTACTTCCGCTTCAACCCCTACCTGAGTGAAGACATCCCGTTGAACGAAAGTCGCCTGGAGAAGCTGAACTTCCTCAAGAGCGAAGGGGAGCACTACCTGAAGCGCAACGAGGCCAAGCTGAAGAAAGCAGCCAGCGTCCTAGGCCAGGAGAAGAGCAGCATCCAGAGACTGGCCGAGTGGGTCAAACTGAAGACGGACATGTATGAGGGTCTGCCCTTCATGTCCAAGCTGTGATTATTTCAACCATAACAACGGAGTTCGGTTTTTAAAAAAACCCCAGTACTGTAAAACCTCCCATATCTAACAGGGATCAAGGGTCAATTGTTTTAGCATGTAGGGAGGAACAAAAACTTTGGGATCATCTTTAAAAAAACACAAAAGATAATTAATAGTAACAACTATTAGCCTTCAATGTTTCTAACATCCAAATACGTCAACAATGGTGTTAAATACAGCTGCTGCATGAAAGGACTTGAATGTTATAAAAAAACACAAAAAAAACCCAGAATGCCAATTGAATGTTATAAAAAAACACAAAAAAACCCAGAATGCCAATGTTTTGATAGACTGATGGCCCTCAGTATTTCCTCTAGTCTAATTAATTTAAAATGTAAATAATACGCAGATGCTCCAACACGTCCCCTCACCACTAGCACTGTACAGAATAAAGACATCACACCTTTTGTAATAAATGTAATTTTAACAGATAAAATGTAAATAATATTTATAGTCATATATAGTTGTTAGTATGATTCTTGGAACCCGTGTGTGGTCACTGGAAGAAGATGAATAATTAGTAAAATGGATAAAAAAAAAAACAACTGTCACTTCGGAACCCTCCAATGCTGCTTAGCATCGTGGATTAGCTGTTTAGTTTCCAAACTTTTTTATTTTTGTGATAGGACTGTTGACACTCACCAGCCGCCACTAGTTCACATTCACAACTGATTTTATTCTTATCCTACAAAACTGCCATTCTTGTTGAACACAAGGAATTAAATAATAAATAGGTGTTCTTTTTGTTTTTAATTGTAGCAAAATTTGAGGAACTATTTAGATTCAAATTAATTTGACTTGATGACCCCCCAGCAATAGTTCTGTGCCCACCTAGGGGGTTTAACCCCCCACCTTGGGAACCACTGTTTTAGGGAGAATTGTCATTGACTAATTATGTGAAAACTCACATAATTGCTTTGCCTTTTAATTTAACTGCCCTGACTCTTTCTATATTAATGTGTGGAAGGACAGTTTTAAAGAAAGTGTCATTGAAAAATAATAAACCCTGTTTTTAAAATCATCAGTCTGAGTTTCTGTCTCCTGACTGAGATCTAATGACACTCAGGAATGTCATGCGTCCCCTGATGACGAATTGCCTTTTTTCTCCTCATTGTAAACATTGATTTTTTTTTCTTTTCTTATAGACCTCCATCATACTGACACACACACCAGAATGAAATTTTAATATTAGATAAATTAAAATAATTTAAGTGAAATAATTGACAGCACCACTCTTTTATAATAAATTTCAAAAAACCTCACGTTGAAACTAAAATTTTTTGTTTCATTTTCCTTCACCATGATATCAGCTCACGTTGAAACTAAAATTTTTTGTTTCTTTATTTTCCTTCACCATGATATCAGTTATGCAGTCAGACGAAATAAGGTTTCAGTGCTTAGTAATAAAAATAACAATAACCAATGAGCTACTGTTGTCTTTCTTTGTGTTGTTTTTGGACCCTTAACAGTAAAATCAAACGTATTTATCAGTAGGCTAACTTTTAAGCTAAGCTTTTGGCCAAACTTTTTATCTCATATCTCAGAGCTAATATTTAATAATTTTCCTGAAATAATGTAATTTTTAATTTTAGGTACATTTGATGGTAAAATTGTTAGGCAGAAACTAACAAAAAATACCAGGAAAGATACGTTATCGTCATGCAGCTGTCATGATATTCAAATATGACGTCATAACTATAAACACAGTGGGATCGTCAGGTGTGACGGTGTTCCCGAGCGACGGTTCCACCTCCATCCTCCTGTAGAACAGAGACCCCAGTCAGTTCAGCCTTATTTACCAAATACAGCAATAACGCAGTCTGTGTGCAGTCATAAAGATCGTGTCTTGTTTTAATCTGACCCAGATAAACTGGTTTTAAATACACAGCGGCCTGGAAAAGATCCTAAAAACATAAACACTTTTTTGGAAAACAGTTGCGCTTGTCAAGGACTTTCCGCTCAAACACACAGTGAACGTATTGTTCACCAGACGATAAATTAAACGTGATTGGAGTTGACGAGTCTTTAACGTCTGAGCGTCAAAACAAACAAAAAAAAAAGTCCGTCTCTCATCGCATACTACTGAAAAACTAAACGGTACAAGAGTTTACACGGTGGCGTGGTTCTCCACACGTCTCTGCCAGTCAGTAAGCGGTGGAGACACACCCACACATACACATACTATCTGTCCCACTGTTAGCCCAGTCATGCTACAGGTACGTTAGTACAGTTCACTAAGGCAATAAATATGCTAGCCAGTCTGGTATGCTGTCTTCGTTTACACATGTAAACAATAATCTGTTTTCCCCTGCGAAGATTATAGGGAGGAGCATTTATAACAATCCAGTTCATAATAGATGTAACTATTTTATTTATCACCCTATTTTACTCTGTTTAGGCTAACTTTGTGTTAGCATATATACAGTATATGTCAACTTCCTGTTAGCTATTGTTCAATAAAAAAAACTTAACTGGCAATTTTATTTTACTAAATTTGGCTCTCTTTGTTTTATGCTTTATCTTGACTAGTATTCTTGTATTTTTTCCAACCTGTCTAATCATTATTTTTTGGGTAATAGTAAGCCAATCTTTGTTTCTTTTGAAATGACCTTAATTTATGTTTCAGTTTTAAATTGCCAAAACCTTTTTTGTATTAAATATAAAAAAATTGCCAAAACCTTTTTTGTATTAAATGTAAAAACATTTTCTTTCCTGGATTAAGTTCCACCTATGCTTTGTATTTATATATATATATACAGTATATAGGTTCCACCTATGCTTTGATGCAACATTTTGTAAAAAATAAATATAATTGTTGGTTGTATGTGCTAACATAAAAAAAAACACTTGCAGCTACAGCACATGACTCAACTAGGATTTGTCATGACCCCCGGCCTGGATGACAGTTCACACCTACAATTATTATGTGAAGAGAGAGAAACAACGTTTTCCACACCGAGCTGATGACCTGTAAATGCCTTGGAGTGAACTGCATGTCTTTATGTCTTTCATTGTAATTAGTGGTGAAAATGTGCAGCTGCTGTTGCCCAAACACAATTCATGTCAGGTGTGTGTGTGTGAAAGAGAGAGAGTGGGAACGAGAGAGAGAGAGAGAAAGAGTGGAGGCTCCAACAGGAAAATAAATGATGGCTGTAGACATGATTATTGATGCTCTTGTACTGATAACAAGTCCTAATGTGTGTGAGACATGTCCAGGGTTGGAGGTGAGTGATGTGGGAGGAGGTGTGGGGTGGAGGACGTTGGCACACAGCTGTCATGTGGATACAAGGCTCTGTAGTTTAACATGTGATGCAGGTTGTTGGGCAGCGCTAATGTGCAGTCAAGTGTTTGACACCAGGACTGCTGAGTGTGTGTCCACAGAGGCCATATGTCTTCAGGGACAATGGCTGATAAACACCTGTCTCTTACCTTACTGCTCAAAGGACAACATTTAGAAACACCCAGATTAAATTACATGTTTGGAGGTTGTTACAATTTAAATGTAAAAGCGTTCATTTCATGTCTAAAAAAATAAAATTCAATTATAATGCGAAAAAATGCAGAAAATTATATAACTATTGATGTAGCCCAGAGATAATCTCAGGTATAAATATATAAATACGCAGTATCCACGATCTAAAATGCTCTGGAATTTAATAATTGTGGCTAAACATCTCACGTGACCAAGCTCCTACCAAAACAATAATGCCTTCCACAGACAGTTCTGTCGTGACTTACTGTTAAATTCATTAAATTCATCTTACCATACGTGCAGGACGATCTGCTGCCGCTGAATAAAAATGGTGTCGCTGTTCTTCACATTTTTATTCTTTCCCCTCCTGCACGGGGTGTTAGGAACAAAGATAGTAGATGTAAGTGCAAGAGGTCTTACTCTGAGGAGATCACCGCTCCCACAAATATGAGCACTTTGAAGACAATAGACAATACACACACACATATAAAACAAATTGAAGACAATAGACAATACACACACATATAAAACAAAAGTGTGATTTGATTTTTTTTTCAAGAGTTTTTACCATTTACAGTACAGGTACACAAAGGTATAAAACACCCTGGATAAAATAGTGAAATTAAATAAATGTAAATTTCACGTGAAATAAATGTTTTTTGACAAATATCTTACCCATGTTACTCCTCTCTGCCTATAGATACTGCGCATGCTCAGTTGTAAGGACGCCTATGCTTGAAGGGCTTCACAATGGCTTTGAATTTTGCAGTGAGCCGAGTGAGCATTCTTCTCGGAAGCATAGACGATCTTTGGACGCTGCTGGCTTTGACAGGAGCGGGGGAGGAGGAGGTGAGGAGGAGCAGGAGGAAGAGGAGGAGAGCGGAGCATCCGTGTGGACCACAGCTCGCTGCTGCAGCAGGGGGACGGACACGCACACTCTCTCACTCACTGGCCGGACACGGCCCCGCAAACACACACACACACATACACTTTCACACACACACCAACACGCACACACAACCAGACACGCTCCTCATCATCCACACGATTGGAGCGAGGAAACTGGAGTCAGCAGACGGTGAGTTTGAATATTTTATTTCATTTATTCAATTTAGCTATCTTCCCTGTCATCGTCATCTTCATCACCAGATCTGGAGGATCATCATAATGGTGCAGTGCATGTGTCACATGATCAGTGTGTTTTCTGTGTCTGTGTGATGCTGGCACAGCAGGTGCAAATGTGGAGCAGCAATATGGAGGCGCCTGACGCCGACTGCTTTTTTCTTTCTTTCTTATTTTTCTTATTTTTTTAATCTATTTTCTTTTGAATGCTCTGCATCTAAAGCGATGGTCTGCATCCGAGAGAACCACCCGTGCATGCGGTGTCGGGATCGGCTGTTGCGTTAAATGCTTGTATCTGGCTGTGATTGCAGCAGCAGCAGCAGGAGCTGGGGTATTGTTACTGGTGCCGGTTGCCGGTGGAGGCCCCCATCCTACTCCCTCCTCCTCCTCCTCCTGCTCATCATCATCTTCATCATCCTCATTATCAGTTGTGGTTTGACAGAATGGTTGGATGATGATGCTCAGCTCCTCTGACTGCAGGATGCAGGGCCTGGTGTGTTGATTTGAATTCACATCCAGGACTAATCGTTAATCTGGTTATTTTTCTGTTTCTTTGACAAATATATTTGAATCTGTTGCCCTTGACAAAGATCAGACAGGAGCATATTACGTCTGTTTTACGTCATCTTATTCTTTAACATCAACCAGTTATCATTTAGTGAGAACTGTGATTGTTGGAGCTTTGTGACTTTGTGCTTGACTTCAGGTGCTCAACAGTCGCACCAGACATTTTTTTAATGAACCATAGTCCAGTCTGGTACCAGCCCACGTTTACTATGAAGTAACTCTATTGAACACATGCAGAAACTGGCTCTGGCATTGTCATACTGAACTCCAGGGTTGCCCTGAAAATGTCACTGCTTAGATGGTAAACAGTATGTTGGTCCGAACCCTGTACGTACCTTTTAGCATTCATAGATGTTCAGGTTAGCATTTGGGTGGGTTGATACAAACAAAGGGGGAGCAGAGTCTTTTTTTTTTTTAGTATCTGAAAGAAAAAAAATCAACATTTATTCCCACATCATAAACATCCCCAATATTAAAAGCAGCCCTTTGCCAGACAAAGACAATGTTAAAAAAAGGACAAACAAAGAAGGTTACTTTGTCTGTGGAGTCAAGCCAATTTTTTTTTTTTTTTTTTTAAGGGAAGCCACACTTGACAAACACCTTGGAGGCAAAAGCTTCTGCTCTGATACTACAAATGTGGGTTGTTGCTCTATTGTGTACTGCATTTAAAGCATTGGTTCATGCATTAAGAATTAACAAAACTATTAGCATTTGGATTTTCCAAAGGTTTATTAAAATTAGCTGCATGCTAGCCAGAAAATACAGACAAGCCAACGCTTGGCTAAATCCAAGGATAGAACAGCTAACAGACAGCGATTAAAGCAACAGCAACTCAGGTTAGCAAAACAATAGCTGACCACCAAAAGCATTAGAGACATTTGATGAAATGACTTCAGATATTATTCAAAATGCCCAATGAAATATTCACTCCGCCAGCCTTTAACCTGCACTGTGAAGGTTATATTGATATTTTTTACAATTTCTTTTAATTTCAGTTCAATTTATAGTTTAAATCACTGCACACAAATCAGTGTTAGCAGGACAGAGTAATTAGAAAACATGTTGTTGTTGTTTGGGATAAATTGGACTAATTAGAAAACATGTTGTTGTTGTTTGGACCGTGTTGATAAGTGAGAGGCTACACGTAAATAACTGAATATTCCAGGCACAACTGATACTGATGCATTCACGTCTGGCAAGCTGGCCGTTTATTAGCCGTTAGCGGTATGTGTTATTGTGTTGCAGCCAACGCGTTTAAATGGAGATACCAGATATCAGGTGCCTGGTGCTATTGTTTGCTGCACAGAGTTTGTAACCAGTGGGTATCGCACACCTGACACGAGGACAATGAACTGGAGGAATCTTTGTGATGAAAAGAATGACATTATGTTAATGTGTGACCAACTCCGCGCAGACGTTACAGTACGGCTTCATCTGGTCTGACGCGGAGAAGGTAATTTATCCCCGCTTCACGCAGAAATTAGGTCAGAAATACACACGTTTCAACTGGGAACGCGATTGAAATTCATCCTCAAGTGGTTGGCACAAACTCACCAGTTAGCCTCAATTCCAATCTGCTAAAGAAAAGTTTTGTTTGTAAATAGTAATATATATATGTATACATATATTTGTTTTACAAAGCATAAGGATTTAAGAGTTAGCTTTTTAACTCTGTTCTTGTTTTCTGGGCTTTTCCATCATAACTGGGCTCCTGTTGTTGTGTCTGACGGTTGACGCTGCTAATGTTCCTTTAGTGAAGATGTGATTGGTTAACTAGAAACCAAACAAACTATTGGAAACGCCCTTAAAAAGCTTAAAAAATTTCCTGAAATGAACCAGTAGACACATTTAAGCACCACTGAGACTCACTGTGAATAAACCACAGTTCAGTGAAGATGTGATTGGTTACATCTGGGCTGCAATAAGCCTGCATCACACAGGAAATACAGCTCAATCTCTCTTCACATGTAAAGCACTGAACATTCGTCTCGTCATCTGTTTGGTGTCAAAGTCCTCGTTTGTCTCTTGTTTGTAAATAGTACAATTGTGGAGGAGGAGGAGGAGGAGCAGAAGGAGGAGGAGGAGGAGGAGGAGGAGGGGCAGTTTCCTGAAATCAAGGTTTTGGCCTGTCATACTGTAGCACTGCAGGGGCAGTGTTAGCTCCCTGACTGTTGTTGCCCTCTCTGAGACATGGCGGGACATAACTTGTGACTTTAAGTGCCCACGCTGCTGATGCAGAGCCCGCACTCAGCCCCGGCCGCGGTGTCATCATAACTCTCCTGCTCATCCACGGACCATTAGGCTTCATTCAGGTGATTTCTGTTAGAGAACCCTTTCCTTCTGTCTGCTGTAGCCCGAGGTGACGACAGATTATGACCTGCCGTGGCAGGGATTATGACGAGGAGGCAACGGAGGAACTCACGGGTGGAAATGATTAAGTCACTAATGGTTGAGTTGATTTTAACAGTGCTGGGTGTTTTTGAGAGTTGTGTTCACACGTCAAATGTCAACTTTATCAATCTCCCGGGAGTTCCCTCTGGGAAATTTAGGGCCACAGCTTTAAAGACTTCTTCAACGTTTGAGTCTAAATCAGTTCATGAAACTGTAAAATGAGCCTTTTGCATATTTCCATCTAAAACCCTGCCTTGCAGCTGGGAGTCTTTTGCTGATTCGACAGCTAAATAAACACAGCTAGGCTAATGTTGTGGGTCATTAGCATCTTTACCCTCTTACAGCCCCGGTCCACAGCTGGACACGATTGTCTACTCATTGAAGGTACGTGGACACATTAAATTAGTTTGTCTGCCCGGAGGTTGATGGAGTGGAAAATGGCGGACCGTTCCAGGGACAGGGACATTCTGCTGTCGCCAGGAGATTTCTGGGGAAACAGATGTTGTTGTTCTCCCTGACTTCTTTTGAGGACGGTTTCTTGTGGCCAAGAACAAAATAGTCGTTAGCCATATGGTGACGGACACTTAGATTAAATAATGAAACGTGGGGAATCTTGTGGCCAAGAACAAAATAGTCGTTGCCATATGGTGACGGACACTTACGGTAGAAGAAGAAATGAAGGAATATCACAGTGTTTGATGAAGACAAGTAGGTTGACTCAGTGGCAGGAAACGTGAATTGAGTAACTCCGCCAATAGATGTTGCTGTTGCTCAGTAATGTTGTATTTTACATGTATAGCCATATAATGCAAAAACAACCCTATGGTACAGCACATTTGGCAATTGTTCTCTGGTGGAATGTGGAAAAAAAATACAGCAAGTGTGAGTGGGTGAGCCCAGAGAAAGTTGCCAGACATGGAGTTCCTAAGTTGCTGATTCAATTCCAGAGCCATATGCAGGTGAAGATGATTCATTTCCACTCGAAACTTTTACTGAATTGGCAGAAAAGGGTTGGCTGGACTTCCTTCTGTAAATGTATCTGGTTAACTCCTCACCGTGTCTGTGTCAAAAATGCCGATAAACAAATGTTTTGACTCGATGCATGGACAAAATACTTCACGCTGTTTGTGCAATAATCCCACTGTCCAGAGATTGACAGCGACTCTGGTGAAATGTCGGGACTCGAAGAGTTTGTGTAGACTATAAAAATACAAAGATGGTCATTTACACACACACACACACACACACACACACACACACTGCAGGAAGAGTATTGGTTTCACTGAAGCACCTTGGGCTTTAAATACCATGTCAGTGCCCAGTGTGTGTTTGTGGCAGGTTCATCTTCGGGTGAAAACACCCGGCTTGACTTACACTGAGTGCAGGGCAGTAAGTGAGTCTACTGCTGACGAAGTGACTGACACATTTTTGGAAATGGATTGTGAGGGACCGTGGGCTGATCGGTGTTGTTGAGGAAACGGTTGTCAAGAAAGTTTTGACAGCAAACCTCAATGGGTTCTACACCCAATGGAAAGATTCACAGTGAATTCACCAACTTTCTAGTTTTTGCAGTAATATTAATAATAATAATTCCATGATTTGGATAAAACAAAAACATCTACATACTCTTATTTGTCTTTTAGTTCCAGCAAAACACAGATTTCTTTGGTCATATTCATGAATCCCGATTAATCTTGTTGTATTTTTACGAGCCTAAAAAAGCTTCATGTTTCTTCTGTCTGTGCGTGTTGTCTTTCTTGACCTTTTGACGACCTAATTCATCCCATGACCAGCTAACGATGGCTAGTGTTGCTGCCATTCCCGCTCATTTTTTGCAATAAAGAAAACCCGCCTTAGAAGTCCGACCCAAGTTCCAAAGGGAATGTTTTATCCGAAGCATCTGCTTCCCTCCTGTGGGAAAAAGGACTCCGGTTCAATAGAGCCTCTATGTGGTTTTTTTTCTCCAGCCCACCCTTCCTAAGTAGCCGGCCGGCCGCC